ATTACTTTTTGCAGTAACTAGTAGTGTAACTAATTACTAATAAGATTTCAGTAATAATATTACAGTTACCATCCATAAAACAGTTTAGTTACTTAGTTACTTTTGATGCTTCAACCCCATCTGATTTAAGATCCAACAATCAAATAATTCCTAGATTTATTTTCATAATTTTCACGACTCACAATGCATGTTGTGGCTTTACTTTACTCTGGCATTACATCCCTCTGATCAGCATGTGGTACATTATATTACTATAATTACAAATCTTTCTGGAAAATTAAAGAGTTTCTTACAAACTTATGTGATTTGATAAAATACGTAATGAAATATAATCGTATATGGGTAACGGAGAAATTACAATTAGCTTCAAGCTACACATGACAATTAATGAGATTAATACAACACTTCTACTTGACTGTCACTATCAATCACTATTGAGTGTTTGTAATAACTTCTGACTGCGATCCAATGTGGATGTTGGTCAAATGATGAGGCAGAAATATGTTGTTAGTAAGAATTTTATGTGGAAGATACACAGTTACAACTTCTGTGGGGCGTGAAGAAAAAGTAATGTAACTAGTAGTGGAACTAATTACTGTTGCCAGAAAGTAATAAGTAAAGTAACAATATTAGTTTTGAAAGGAGTAACTAGTAATGAGTAATATATTACATTCTTTGAGTAACTAGCCCAACACTGCTGCTAGGTAATAACTAGGTACTAACTCTGAACCTAACCCTACCCCATGAGTTACCTTATATTACCAGAACATCCGTAGGTAGGAACACTGTAAATACAGTGTAAGTATATGTATTTACACATACTGTAAAATAAAGTGCAGCCGAGTCCACATCCAGAAGCGTGTTGGAGTTTGACTTCTGAAACGCTGTCGGTTTGAAGCCAACATGAAACTGCATTCACAGCACGTTTTACTTCTGTAATGTGACATTTCTAAATGAAGCTAAAGATTCAGTTTTTATGAAGGGAGGGACTTGATTTTATTCATCTGGATTGAAAAAAAATCATGAAAAGTAGAGAAGAGAAGTCTTTAATAAGTTGCAGAATATATGTCCAAAGGGAAAATTAATACTATTGTTGTTACTTTTTTATTTTTATTTTATTAATTTTATTTTTTTTTACTTTTATTGGGGATATATTGGCACCATTATTGGTTGTCAGCCGATATCAATGTTTTGGTAAAAATATTTATAATAATAATATTTTTTTGTTACTTTAGTGTCATTGATTTACTATTATGGTTTTTGAGTAATATTTTGAATCAAATTTAATTTTTATATTTTCTGTTTTCATTTTAATTTTAGTTACAGTTTTAATAATTTAGTTGGTTTTGTCATTTTTATGACTTTTTTTTTTAAATATGACTATATAGTTTTTGAAATTTTAGTTTTAGTTGCTGTTTTATTGGCACCATAACTGAGATCAGCCAAAATCAGTGTTTTAATTATATTTTTAAAAATATTTATATTATATCTTATAATCAAAAATTATTTTTTGTTATTTTAATATCATTGATATACTATTGTACTTTTTGTTGATATTTGAATTAGATTTATTTTAATATTTTAAAATGTTAGTAATTTTGTTGTGTTTTTTCTTTACTTACTTTTTACTATTATTATTATTATTTTTAATATGCCTGTATAGTTTTATTAAGTTTTAGTCTTTGTTTTATTTAGTTGCTAGTATATTGGCACCATAACAGTTATTAGCCAATATCAGTGTTTTAATAATATTAAAAAAATATTTATAATATTTCATATTTAAAAAAATATAATTTTGTTATTTTATTAATTATATTTTTAAAATACTTATACTTTTTAATTAAGTTTATTTATTTAAAAATACATATCATATTTAAATATTTTTTGGTGAAAGCTGTTTCCAAGCCTGTTTATGAGAACTAACTTTAAAGTCATTTTGCACATTTTTATTTAGGAATTACACCTTTATTTTTTGTTTCACAGTTTTTACTTCTATTTCTTATTTAAATTTTCTCTCACAATTAGCTGTTTTATTTTTTTTTACTCTGAGGCAGAAACAGTGTATTTATTGAAAAAATAAGATACAAAAGTATTTATTGTTCCTTTAAAAAGGAAGTGTTTTTATTCATTGTATTGTAGTGTATTGTTTTTAGCAGTAAATGTGACCCTGGACCACAAAATCAGTCTTAAGTGTAATTTTTTTCTAAATTGAGATTTATACATAATCTGAAAGCTGAATAAATAAGCTTTCCATTGATGTATGGTTTGTTAGGATAGGACAATATTTGGCTGAGATACAACTATTTGAAAATCTGGAATCTGAGGGTGCAAAAAAATCAAAATATTGAGAAAATCATCTTTAAAGTTGTCCAAATGAAGTTCTTAACAATGCATATTACTAATCAAAAATTAAGTTTTGATATATTTACTGTAGGAAATTTACAAAATATCTTCATGGAACTTGATCTTTATTTAATATCTTAATGATTTTTGACATTAAAGAAAAATCGATAATTTTGACCCATACAATGTATTGCTGGCTATTGCTACAAATATACCCCAGCGACTTAAGACTGCTTTTGTGCTCCAGGGTCACATATATTTATAGTATCGTCCATTTTTCGGTTATTGGCCATAACATACTTGAATGTCTATTTCGGTTTATCCGGGACCGTAACTTTAACACCACGTCAGTTTTCCATCCATGTTTTCCTGTAAAGAGTCTCACGTGAGTTTGTCCATCTTTAGGCTGCAGAGTCTGGCATCGTCAAGATCAAAACCATCGCTGCAAGAAACACAGACATCCTGGCAGGTAAGAGAGTTATGCTGAAGTAACGGTGTGATATGACCCATGTGGAGATAAATAGACACTATTGTGTTGATTTAACATCAGCGCTGAAGGAGAACAGTTCAGAGGTGGTCCAGCCGTTCCTCATGGGCTGCGGAACCAAAGAACCCAAAATCACCCTGCTGTGTCTCGCCGCCATTCAGAGACTCATGTCCCATGAAGTCGTGTCCGAGGTCAGAAAACTCACACACAGACACACACACTCTCTCTCTCTCACACACACACACACACACACACACACACACACACACGCACACACACACACTCTCACACGCGCACACACACACCAGTTAAAGAGTTGAAACACTCACTGTGCTTATTATGAGGGTTATGAACACTGCACTGCCACAGTAATGACATTAGAGTCTCAGCGGTGAGAGCGGATCAATGGCTCGTTGAGATGAGTTAATTAGTGTTTTTGCAGCCGGCGGCGGGGAACATCATTAACATGCTGTGGCAGCTGATGGAGAATGGACTGGAGGAGCTCAAGCTGCTGCAGACAGTTCTGGTGCTGCTCACCACCAACACCGTCGTGCACGATGAAGTGCTGTCCAAGGTACAGCACACCATTAAACCGAGCCCACAGACGCAAGCGGCTGGTTATAAAGAAAAACAAGATTTGTTTTGCTTTTTTGAAATAAGATTGAAGAAAGTCAGTGGGGAATCTCATTAATGCATGTCCGGATAATATTTTGGTCACATAAATTAAGAGGAAATTATAAAAATAATGTAAAATATTTTTTGTTGTTGTGGCATAATGTTTTGGTTATCAGCCAATATCAGTGTTTTAATTATAATTATAAATATTTATAATATAATATTTAAAATTATAATAATAAAAAAACTATAATAATTTTTATTGATGTTTCCGAACCGGTTAAAAAAAAAAATCTGTAATTGTGATTTTTTTTTAATGTCAGAAAAGAAGAAGAAAAAATTTAGTTGTGATTTTTTTTATTTCTGAAAGAAAAAGAAAAAAAATCTGTAATTGTGGCTTTTTATTTCAGAACTGCAGATGTATTTTTAATTTTCATAATTTGTAACTTTAGTAAATTAGAAAAATCATTATCTATATCTATAGGCAATAACTTTGTTTTCATTATGTTTAAAAATTATAATATTAATATAATAAAAGTATAATTTTAATGGAAGACATTTCTGAATGTTATCAAATAAAAAAATCTGTAATTGCAATATTTTTCTTTCAAAGTTTTATAATTTGTTACTCATAGTTATCTCATAGTTATTATAACTTACAACTATGGTCTTAATTTAAACTATCACACAATTAACTGTTCTATTTATTTTTACTCTGAAACAGTTAATTTTTTGAAAAAGTAAAACAGCTCTATTTAATGTTTATTTTGAAATTGCGTTTATTTTTTCAAATTATAGTAGCATATTGTTGAATATAAACTATTTTTAAGTTTTTTTTTTTACTGTATTTGTTTTTTTTCTTTACAAAGTACAACAAAATATAACATTGATTATTTATCAGGGTTTTATTAATTTTTTTAATAACTTTCAAAAATAATTATCTACTAAAATTTCAATGATGGATTATACTGCATTTACCACAGTCATGGATAACGACTGTGGAAAAGTCATGGAAATTAATAAAAATCATATAGCAAAATTTATATAGCAAACATATGTATAGTATTCTCATATTTAAATTTTTACAATTTAAAATAATAAGTTGCTGCTTGATATGTTTTAACTCTTAAGATGATCTTAAAAATCCTTATCTATTAATCTCAAGTGACAGGAAAGCTCATGTGAAAATATAGAAATTCAAAAGTTGTGGAAATCCTGATTTGCATATTGAAATTTCAGAGCAGAAATAGCCTGTTTAATTCTTAGTAGAGCTCTGTTAAAGGATGTCAGTGCACAAACAAGTACCTTTTATGCATCTACACTGTTGAAATTAGTTTTTTAAGGACATAAATATATTTTATTCAGATAGTGTAACCAAAGCCGTTTTCTCGCTCTTCAGCATGTTGCTTTTGTGCTTCCTCTCAGGCCATCGTTCTGTGTTTCCGGCTGCACTTCACTAAAGACAACATCACCAACAACACGGCGGCCGCCACCGTCAGACAGGTCGTGACCGTGGTGTTTGAGAGGATGGTGGCGGAGGACGAGAAATTCAAAGGTGAATGTTTGTATTGCACTTCCTCTTGTACCCAGACCCCTGTCGTCTGCTGCTGCGTTCTTTATTTCCTGTCTGCTCGCCGCAGGTCTGACGGAAGAGCCTCCTGCTGTCCAGGGCAACAGTAACCGGCGCTCCGTCAGCACCCTGAGACCCAGCGCTAAAGACGCCTACATGCTGTTCCAGGTCAGTCGGTGGATACATTAGCAGACTGTAGGGATGCAACAGCGATATTGGTTCCAAAACCCAAATGCAAACAATATCCATGATTCAAAACTCAGAGTAAAAATATATGTAGATATGTTTTACAGTGAGTCAGTAAAAACCCCTTTAATCATGGTAAAATCACTGTAACGGCCACACGTAGCTTATTGCTTTTGTAAAATCCCCAATGCAAACAATATCCATGATTCAAAACACAGAGTAAAAATATATGTAGATATGTTTTACAGTGAGTCACTAAAAACCACTTTAATCATGGTAAAATCACTGTAACAGCCACAAGTAGCTTATTGCTTTTGTAAAATGGTGACCACAGCTGTATGATTTCAATTATACAATTAACATGTTTAATAAATAATTATATTTGCTTGGTAATAATAACCGTAATAAAAAGTTATTTCTCAAGTAATACAGTTC